TTTGAACTTGGACTTAAAGCCTCCAAACTGTAAGGGAATAAACTCCTGTTTGTTAAGGCCATCCCATTTGTGGTATATTCTTGTCAGAGTGGCACCAGATAACCAGAACATGGACTAACTAGAAAAAATTTATGAAATATGGAAATCAGTGTTATATTGAAAACCGAGGCCTAAAAACAGTGAAGGTAATTTACCCACTGCCATCGAGTCAATTCCGACTAATAGTGACCCTACAGCACTGAGTAGAACTCCCCCATAGAGTTAACAAAGCTGTAAATCTTTATGGAAGCAGACTGTCTCATCTTTCTCCCATGGAGTGGCTGGTGGCTTTGAACTGCTGACCTTTAGGTTAGCAACAGAATATTTTAACCACTGTGCCACCAGAGTTCCTTAACAGTGAAGGTATTAGCCTCTGTTTTACATATTTTTCACTTTGGGGCTCTTCCATTAAAAAGAAAAAAACAACCAACAAGCAACAATGACAAAACCCCAGACAAACTTGGAATTATTTGTCACTCTAACTACAGTAATAGGGTAGCATTTTTCTTTTTTCCCCCTTTCATTTTAAGATAAGCAACTCCTTTGTGCTTCTAGTGAGAAGCATCAGGTTTGTATTTTGAATTTAGGTCTTTATATCAATAAATTGCATACTCTCATTTTTGCTGGGATGATTCTGTGGTATAGCCTATAAAGGTATAGAATATAATTTTTTATTTTCAAAGTCAACATGACCAACTGAAGAAGGAATGGATCATGTTATCTTATTTGGTGAGTCTGTTTTGTAGCTGATGTATGTTTGTTTTTTTTTCCTTTCAGTGTTCTTTTCTACTAAATTGCTTCCAATCCACATACTAATTTTTACTTTTAGTGGAAAAAAGATTTAAGATAACATCAAGTTACCTAATATAACTATGATATATGAACTTTCTAAATGAAAAGAATATATGTAAACAATTTAAAAATGTTGGAATTGCTATTTATTATTTGTGAATGTATGTAAATGTGACCTACATGTTCCAATAAAGCAGGAGTGACTTTAGTCCTCCTTTTAATCTAAGAATCTCTCCACTACTGAAGTTACCCTTATTTTCAGTAAGATGTGCCTGAACTGAAAATTGACCTTATGAACCCACCTCTTTGTTTAAGGTGAGAAGTTTTGTTTTGATGAACTCAGTGTGATACGATATAAGCTGAAAAGAAGAATGTCTTGTTTGAAAGTATTTATGTTGAAAAAAATGTACTTTATACAGAAATCCAATCCCTGGAGGTCTTTTTATTTATATTTTTTCATGTTTTATGTTATTTCACCAGAACACTGCAGTAGACTGTAAAATAACTTCATCTACAACTGGAGATAAACACTTTGATAAAAGTCCCACAAAAACAAGACACCCTCGGAAAATTGATCTTAGAGCTCGATATTGGGCATTTCTTTTTGACAATCTTCGCCGGGCAGTAGATGAAATCTATGTAACCTGTGAATCAGATCAGAGTGTGGTAGAATGTAAGGTAAGATTTGCTTTGTGGCTTTGTAATCCCTGTTACATCAAAATTTGCAACTTTTGCTACACTTAAACTACTTACCTTTTTCTAGTGTTAATAAATTCTCTATGCTTTTTTGTTTTATTACCTCATGTTAGAAATTGTTCTTTTGAAATCAGCATTATGCTTCAGATTCTTGTTGATTTGAAGAGTCCTCCCCTTTATTTTATTTATTTATTTTTATTTTGGCATTACCTAATTATGTACTTTATTTATATTCAGTGAAAAATTTAGTTTTGGAAAGTTATATTGGAACATAGCCCTGGGCAAGGAATCGAAAGAATGTGTAAGTGTAAGTATATTGTCGTTGTTCTGAGCTATCAAGTTGATTCCGACTCTTAGTGACCCTAAGTGCAACAGAGGAAAACACTGCCCAGTCCTGTGCCATCCTCAAAGTTGTTGCCATGCTTAAGCCCTTCATCACAGCCACTGTGTAAGTCCATCTTGTTGAGGGTCTTCCCTTTTTCACTGACTATTTTGCCAAACATGATATTCTTCTCCAGGAACTGGTGGTTCCTTCTGACAACATGACCAAAGTATGAGAAGCAAAGTCTAGCCATAGGTATAAGTGTATATATAACAAAAACACACACAAACCTATTGCCATCAAGTCAGAATTGAACTGCCCCATAGGGTTTCCAAGGATGTAAATCTTTATGGTGGTGGTGTTGTTGTTAAGTGCCGTTGAGTCGTTTCCGACTCATAGCGACCCCATGCACAGCAGAACGAAACACTGCCCGATCCCGCGCCAGCCCCACAATCCCTGCTATACTTGAGCCCATCATTGCAGCCACCGTATCAATCCATCTCGTTGAAGGCCTCCCCCTCTTTCGTTGACCCTCCACCCTACCAAGCATGACATCCTTCTCCAGGAATGGTCCCTTCTTACAACATGACCAAAATAGGTGAGACGAAGTCTGGCCATTCTTGCTTCCAAGGAGCATTCTGGCTGCACTTCCTCCAGGACAGATCTGTTAGTTCTTTTAGCAGTCCACGGTACTTTCAGCATTCTTTGCCAGCACATAAATCTTTATGGTAGCAGACTGCTATATCTTTCTTCTGCAGAGTGGCTGGCGGGTTTGAACTGTTTTCAGTTAGCAGCCAAGCACTTCAACCACTGTACCACGAGGGTTCCTGTGGATGTATACACACATATGTCTTTTTTAAACCTCTTTTATCTGCATTCTCCGTTGGTCCTATAGGTGGCACTAGTGAGATTTTCACATTCTTTGGTTTCATGTTTAATGTCTTTAATTGGACATTACTCCTTTCCATAGAGATAGTTTTCACTCTCCTAATTCACTCTGGTCAGGGAAAAGTGAGACTGATGGCCAACCATAAACAATCCTGGGTGGGATTGCGATGTCATTGTAAGGTGTGTTTTCTAATTTTAGATAACCTTGTGTTTGTAATAGGATATTAAACAGACCCAGCATAGTCTGTCTCTGAAAATTCACTGAAAGGTCTAGCCTTTTAGTAAATACAAATTATACACTGTGTTACTTTATACTGAATAAAATTATTTTTAGACTGACCAGAGTGATACATCTTCATAGAAATATTAAAGAGGTAACTTTCATTTCTATAATCAACATGGTTCAAAACTCTGGAAATCATTATTTACCTTTTGAAATACATAAAGGGCCAAAGAAGTGTTACTTATTGAGACAGCAGTTGGGTTCTCTCTTAAATTGGAACCAGCCAAATTAGGTTTAGACTGGCTTGAAAATATGATTCAGCAGAAGCAGTTTTCAGAATAAGGAGTAATCGAAATCATCCAAATTCATGGTTTGGTTGTCACAATTAATATTGTTACTATCAGCATGTGAAAACTTGTTATGTTATAAGCAAAATGATATTCTTAGAGTATAATGATGAGCATGTTGTGGTGGAAAATACTACTGGATGTAATTTGGGTTATAGTTTTTTCTATAAAATGAATATGCAAGAAAACATTGCGGGCAACCTTTCAGACTCGTTGATTTTGTGGTTAAAAGGAAAAAAAATTGACTGAAGAAATCAAATTTATTTGTAAAATGTGTATTTTAAAGAAGTGAGACTGCCCAATTGCAATCACATCTTTTTGTGATGAGAAGAAATGATTACACCTGTTTCTACTACTGCATCTCCAGCAAGTCAGAATTGGCCATAACACAGTGTAGCTTTTATTTCTGGCTCTGTCACTCATTCATCCAAAGCTTTGTGAACGTTTAGTAGGAGTAGAAATTGGTTGTGTAGTTTTAATTAGAAAGATGGAGAATATTCTGACAGAGTGAGAAGAGAAGAGCTGTGTTCTCTTTCTTTGTATGGTGCCGTAAGTCTTTGAGCACAAAGACTTATGCTGCAGAGTAAAATCTCATAGCTTAAAATTTATGTTCATAGTCAGCTCTACCGTTATCCCATCCAGCACTCACAGATGGAGATGTAGGAAGATACAGTTTAACATTTGGTCTGAGCCCATTCTGGGCACATAATTAGAGCTCCTTTTCTTTTTGATTTTCTCTGTTCTCATCATCAAAGTACTTCCATCCATTCTCTCATTTGGCTACTACTTTTGAAAGATACACAACACAGAGAATTTTCCTCATTTTGCAGGTAGATTCAACCCTTGTTTTATGAATGTACTGACACTATTTATCATGATTTGTGCTTTTTGTGTTTTAGCCTTAGTTAAGTTTAGTTCTGTGAAAGAGCTCTGCTGGCACAGTGATTAAAGCATTTGACTGCTAACTGAAAGGTTGGTGGTTCAAACCCACTAGCCGTGCTGCAGGAGAAAGATGAGGGTGTCTGCTTTCATACAGAATTACAGCCTTGGAAACTCTATAGGGCAGTTCTGCTCTGTCCTATAGGATTGCTATGAGTCAAAATTGATTTGATGGCTTGGGTTTTTTCTGAGGAGAGGGGGGGTTAGCTCTATGCTTCATCTGTAAAATGCAATTGGTGGCACCTGCATTAGAGCCCACCTCTGTGATCAAAGGAGGCTAGATTCCTCATTTTTTGAGATTGAAGAAGTACCAGTTATGACATCAGCTACTTCACTGCATCCCTTGTTAGGAAGTGACATTCTAGCAAGCTATAACCTTCACCTGTAATTTCCCCTGCCCCCTCACAGAGTGGGCTAGAGGGTAGGCTGGGGGAGACTGTCTTTTAGGGCGTATACAATTAATGAAGGAATCCCTAAGTGGCACAGATGGTTAAGTTGGCAGTTTGAAATTTCCCAGAGATGCCTTGGAAGAAAGGTCTGGTGATCTACTTCTGAAAGATCACAAAAACCCTGTGGAGTACAATTCTACTCTGAAACACACAGGGTTGCCATGAGTTGGAATTGACTCCACAGCAGCTGGTCTACAGTTAATGAAGTGGTGGCCATTCTTTCAACTTGTTCTTAAAAAAGTTTGAGATAAGGCCTGGAAAAATTGCTTGTGAAGTTTGTGGATCTTTCTTTCTTTAGGAAGAGGAGCCTATCATGATGGTTCAGACTAGGTCAACGTCTTCTATAGTATACTTTGATAATATGCACTTCTCCTTAGAAACAGTTATCATAATTGAAATTAAATAATTTTATATTTAATTGTTTAATAGCCATATTCTTTGCTAAACACTAAGCTCTATGAAAGCAGAAACCAGACTTTACCCCTCCAGTTTTCAGTGCCTGGTACTGGCATTGGAACATAGTACATGCTTAGTAAATAGGTGTTGAAAGGTTGTGTGAAGCTATGAGATGGCATATACTTTTGCAGTGACACCAGTCTTCACAATCCCCTCTTTCCCACCGTGATAGATAGTAGCCAGTCATATGCCAAAGATGTACAAAGACATTGGGTAGATTAACCTTGGGTAGATTAAAAATACCAACATTGGGTTGGTATTTTTTAGGCAGATATACTGGAATTTCAGTGGAATAAAAGAGTTGAATAGGGTAAGAGAGTAGTTGGGTAATGGAACATGGAATCTAAGCTCAATGAGGAAAGAAATGACCATAGAAAGACTTTGAAAGATAGGGAGAAAAGGGAGAAGTGAGTGTTTGCAAATTGCTTGAACTAGTGAGGGTGGGTAAGCTTGGTTCTCTGTAGATAAAAAGTAATATGTTTTTGTTTTTAAAATTATTTGGATTCTCTAAATACTAGTTTTAACCACTTGATCTGTTAGATACTGAGATATTTTATTTATTTATCTATTTTTATTTATTTATTTTATTGTGATTTGGGTGAAGATTTACAGAGCAAATTCACTTTCCATACAGCAGTTCACATATACTTTGTCTCATGACATTGACCACAGTTTA